CTAAAATACTCAGTTACGGGATATTATTATTTGGAGTCAGATATTGAGGACATTAGCCTCAATATATTGGTGAGCCCGACGTGATCCAATATATTGAGGCTAATGTCCTCAATATCTGACTCCAAATAATAATATCCCGTAACTGAGTATTTTAGGTAGGCTTAATCTCCTAGTACAATTGCGAATTTACTCGAGATTATTGAAGAGCCTGAACACCAGTTATAGAGATAGTTTATTGTTAATGAATAATAATAATCCACAAGCGTACGGTGAGCAAGCACACGATGAAACAGAGTATGAGTAAGTGAGTCTGTTAAAAATCCATATATATTTTAGAGTTAATCGGGTGTGGATAGATTATCGATTATCTACACATTGAAACCAATAGGAAGATAGCTTAAGAGTTAATGTACAGACATACATTCGATCATACACACCGAGATTAACATAGTAAATTGAGTCTGAGTTACAATGACTAGATAAATGATACAGTAGTCAAATGGGCTTGCCACACTACCGTAAACAAGTTGATATGCATTATTATACACCATTGTACATTGCTCTTCGGACATACGCCTAAGTAAGGCATACAGCGATCTTATTACACTTGTCTGTCTTATTTGGACAGGGGAGGTATTGTCAATCGCAACACCGGTAATGTACCTGTCCGATTGCAACCATCTATCACTAATTATCTGAGTATTCACTTCATTATTACTGCGTATGCAGTAGGCTAAAATATGACGACAAGGTATTCGGTTTTCAATGTAAAAAGCACATGAACAATTTAGTGGATTACTGCAGACTGTATAAGTGCCTGTACCATCAACAGCCGTTGACAAGTCCACGGACATTACAACCTCAGTGATAGGAGTGCGCAAATGCCGCTTCAGTAATTGACATGCAGCTGGTGTAAGTCTTTCCCGAAGACGACATATTACTGGCTCCCGACCGATTATTGTTTTATTACGGCAATCACAATAATACTTCTGCATTCGCGCATCGATCCAATATCCAGTGCGAAGAAGCACACTGAATATTGATCTCAACACGGGTATTCTTCTGTTCAGCTTATGCAATTTAAGAATCCGATGAGTTATCTCAACGAAATTCGTATTACTTTGTCCCAAGAGCATCGCTGCGGGTCGAAAAGCATTTGACCACTTGTGCTTTTTAGGCAACAAGTGATCTCTCACATATCGGTAAAATTTTCCGTCTGATGCTTCAATTAATGGAAGATAACTATGGAAACTACAAAAGACTGTAATGCATATTTTGATTTACCTTTCGACACTTCTAGTGAACATCAGACGGAAGAAAAGTTGTACAGTTTCTGCTCGTAGCCTCTACAATGACGATTAATGGCTTCATGTTAAGCAACGAAAAACTTACCCTCCTTAACACATTACGAATTATGTGTACGCAACACAAAATGTGGTGGGAATCGGGATACACCTGCATAATGGCAGCAGCTATTGCAGGTGAATCATCTGTTACAATGCCTACCACCTCTCGGTTGCTAGTTGATCGGCGGAAGAACGACAGGAAATGAGCAATTAAACTAGATGTTTCGGAACTAATGAATGCAATACAAACAGGTATTGCCATGAAATTCATATCAAGTGCTACAACCTGATACAAATATAAATTTTCCTTATTGGTTTTGTAGGTCCCATCAAAACCAACAACATCAAAAAATCGACTTGATAAACTCATTTGATCTGCTGTTGTGAAGAAGAAATACAACAGACAGTTATCTCCATCTAAGTGGTATTCACAGAGGCCACCAAGCGACATGATGTGATCTTTCAATTGGGAGTAATCACCTAACGTTGACAATTTAGATAAGCATATTGCTTACCAGGAAGGTTGGCTTGTGAGAACACTTTGTGGCGCATATTAAAAACATCTTGAGGATCTATACACTTTCTATAAGATTGGTAAACAAAGTGTATAATATTGAATGCTGCTGTCCCAGATATCAAAAGTGGTCTCACTGTTTCGAATTCCACCTCCGTTAACCTGCGCATCCAATAATTACTTTGGTACCTTAGGGAATTGCACTCGTGATTGTGATGCACATTCCCACGAACAACAGTCCAGTAACCTTCAATGAACTTACAAAAGATGAAGGAAGGACATTGAGTGTTTACGAAAGTCCTTTATGAAAAATTATAATAACACTGATCAAATTACCTCGTTCGTCTACTCGGCTGTGAGGAACCGCTAGATGTTCTACGGCCATTTCTCCAACATACGAATTTAATATACGACTTCCGATCTCTATGTAAATGAGAACCTCTCACCACATAATGGCTGTACGTTCTAATGGCGCTATTCAACTCTTCAAGAGATTGGAACGCTACGAGATACAATGTGCTCAAGAATAGGTTATCGGTTTCTGTGACAACGTGAGGAACGACGGAGCTCGTACTTTGCATGTTATTACCGTCCATAATTGTAAGAAAATGTGCTCTGTCGTCAAATCCTCATATTTTATATCGATTTTAAGAAATAAACGACCAATTATAAGGAACTCAAAACTAGTTATTTGATTGGACGAGACAGAATGAAAATTATTGGAAGATGGGGATGAAAAATTTTTTCAAAAGGGATGAAAAAAATTTCACTCAAAAAAAAAATACAAAAATGGCAGTGCAGTAAATGCATACTCGCAACACGTGACCCAACCATCTCAGTCGATGAAGATTTACCATCATTCCCTAATGCCTTGTGTCTAACCTCACTATTACTTACCCGATGATGCGAGCAATATTTCTAAGGCATCTGTGGTCAAATGCTAGTAGCTTACGAATATCTTCTACCATTAGTAGCGACGTTGCGCTGCCGTAAATTAAAACAGAACGAACTGCCGTGCAGTATACTCGTTTCTTAATTGATAGACGGATATCTCGCCTTAGCCATAGGTGACGTAAGTTGGCAAAAGCTGAACGAGATTTTCAAATCGGTGTTGAGATTTCGTCAGACAGCAACCCATTAGGGCTGGTCAGAATTCCAAGATAAGTGAAGTTGTCAACGCGTTTGACTGCCTCTTTTCCTATCCTTAGTTCAGGTGTTGACGCAGACCAGTCCTGCATTTAGAGGGAGAGAAGCGCATTCTAAACGTTCTGGCATTGTTGCTTAGTGCTACTAGAAGACTTTGCATGTTGCCAGTCTTCACCAAACAAGACTATGTCATCTGCGTATTCTAAGTCGATAAGTAGACCTCCTGGAAGGAGACCAATGCCCGAGAATTCAGTCGACGAGAGCGTTATTTCCATCAGTATGTCTATGATAATGTTAAACAAAAGTGTAGAAAGTGGACAGCCTTGACGAACAACACTTGAGGTAACCGTTTGCCATAAGCTCTGATTAGACTAGTAGTGTTCGAGTACAGAGCCCTCACAAGATTCATGTACTTCTGAGGTACGTCTTTCAATGACAGACACTGCCAAGAACATCTCGGTCTACCGTGTCAAATGCTATTTTTAATTCAGGAAAAACTAACATTGCCGCACACCGATAAGCATGTGTGTGTTCTAAAACCTGACGAATGATGAATATGTGGTCGATGCAGCCACGATCAGGTCTGAAGCCAGCGCGATTTTCTCGTGTTTGCAGTTCACGAGTCTTAGTTATACGTCCGATAATTGTTGATGCTAGTATTTTAGATTCTATGTTAGTCAAACTAATCCCTCTGTGGTTATCACATGATGGTTTTGACCCTCTCTTACATATTGGGACGATGAGTGATTGTGGCCATTCAGATGGAATTACGTCCAACTCCCAGATTATAGTCAAAATATTAGTCAACCTAATATCTAAAATTGGACCACTATACTTAAAAACTACTGGAGCTGATCCATTTGAACCAGCTGCTCTTCCTGGTTTCAGATTAGCTATAGCCTTTTGGACTTCAGCTACAGTTGTGGGACCTACTTCAATGTTCCATTCAGGCCGTTTGGGAATGGTGGGTAGTTGTAGAGTAGCTGAAGGCCAGCTGAACTGCTGCTTAAAATGTTCCGCCCATCGTTCTAAACGTCTGGACTGAGAGCAGTTAAGTGTCGTCTTTTTTATGAGATAGTCTCACTTACACTTGATCATGTTATTCATTTCAATAGTTTGATGAGAGAAAAATGAATCATAGGTGTTTCAACGTGTCAAGACAGTTAAGTATAATACCGGAGTTGATAATATATCGATGTCGATGGTTTTTTGTACTATGTGTTGTGATAAGTAGCTACAAGAAACAAGTTTTTAAGTGAATCCATCTGAGTGTGTATATTTTCAGTCAGCTCTTCGATTTCTGTGTATAATTAGAACTAACACATTAAACTACCGAAGGAAAATGTAACAAAGTGCGAGTACTTCTATGAATTTCAATAACGAGGAATAGCAATTTATTATTTAACCGAAGAATGTTCATACAATTCAACTAACGAAGTGAGATATTCTTCAATTTGAGGTTGTGAAGATTGTTTAAATTCATTGAAATTATGAACTAGCTTCGAGACTTCATTCTTGGATGTCTAATGAGAAGCCGTAACCAACGGAGTACAGCCGTGTCGGGTGTGAAGCATTTATTCACCGAAGACAATGGAAGATGATCGCGCGACATCATGAATTAGTTGATGTTAGACATTAACACCATTGGATACTGGTTCATTGGTCTAGAGTTTGAGCGTTCACTCAAGACCGAATGTTGTGGTTTGGATTGACACGTGTAAGATGGTGGATGCGCGTTGTTGTACTGTACTATATCCTTATATGCAATCTTTCTTTCATATATTACCACTTCTGAATTAACCACTTCTATGAATCCGGTGTTCGTCTTGCTGTAGTAATGCGGTATGGCAACTTGGACCGATGCATAAATGTGCCTGGTCCTACGTTGTAGCTGACTGACTGACTGAGCGTACTGATAATGGTGAAAATAATGGTATGATGATAAACACCTAAATATTTGTATATTGAAAATATATAAATCATTCAATTCTTACTTTTGATACGAACTTCCAACAATAAACTGTCTGATCCTAATGTTGATGTTGCTGTGCACATATAAAATCCAGTAGCATCTGAAGCATCAGTCCATTCCATAATAGCATCTTTAGTGCTCTCATGCGGTTTGAACATAGCCTGAAGAATAAAATAACATTCCAACAAAGTATAAAAATTACTAAACCTTACAAACCACAATGATAACAGCAAAGATAGTTTGCATTGAACGACAACAAAATTCTAGCTATTCTACAAATCTTTATTCATTATGATTCTCATTTCACTTCTTCACCAAATGGAAAAACTTTTCTTTAAATTAACAAAAGTATAAAAATAATAAAGTGAGAAACTGAGGACAAATATACATATTTTTTAACGGCTATCCAATACTTCCATATTTTCGATGGTGATCTAACATCGATCGGTTCATGACTTCAATATTAACTCAGAAATTTCTACAACACTACGCTGATTGTAAATATTAGTTGATTGCTAATAATGGTATGGAGTTTCAAGATATAGATGTTCAGAATTGTTGACGAGTCCCAAATAGGACGAAACGCCCCTCTTGTATTCCCCTTCTAAGCCACTATCCATATCTGCTTATAATGCTTGTAACTTAAAAGAATATCGAAGCAAACAGCACAGGATGCACATACGCCGAAAGAGACTGATTATTAGCAGTCTTAAACATTAATGGGAAGATTCGAACAACCAATATAAATGAATACAGGATATAGTTCAAAAAGGAGGAATACAATAAAGCGGTGAAATAAATGACTGAATATTGAAATACAAGATTTGGATGTTTATTATATTTTATTATTAAGCATATTTTGTCACTTCATCAAATTTATCGATGAATTTTATCATGTAGTTTAGTAAGTACCCAGAGGTTTGTGCACTCCCTGAACACTTTGTCAATCACTCGTGAAAGCCATTAATACCTAAAAATATTTTGCTAAACGTGTGGAATTCGATTCTGTATGACTAAACGATTGATACTTAATTACGTGAAACAAGTGAGTCACAACATTATTAATGAGGTGTATGCTACTTATCTGTCGACATAAGTAGTATGTAACACCAATTAGAATTGGAACGCCTGGCAGCAGAAGGTTGAGAAGATCGAATTGAAGAGAACAAGAATGCAAACAGAGAGTAATTGTAATAGCAACATGAATGGAGGAGCCATAAGGTTTGTAAGAGACAACTAATGATAGATGTGCAAACGAAGTTCTTAATGTATAGTTTTCATGTTTTACGAAGACATTCCGTAATTTTGTGTTAAACAATAAACTGGTCTTCCCCACCTGACTGTTTCTTCACTACACTACCACTAACATAAACTGAAACTATCTCGTTCATGGAGAAAATTCATTCTTCAAAAAGAGTACACAATTACAAAGTAAGAGAAGGTTCATTTTCTGAATATTATAGTAATGTCTACATGAATGAATTAGAAAGTAACTCAGTGAGTCAGTAAAAGTAGAATAAAATTGTGTTTCTGGTGGTATGAAGTCATAGCACTTTTAAATTAAGTCAACTCCTCGTAACTCCACAACTAAACACAAATGTGTTAATGATTAACATCATCAAGCCAAATTTAGAGAATTGAAGATAAAAGAGTATAATCTAGCTTACTTTTTACCTCAGTAAAATCTAAGTATTGGAAAGTGATAAGAATGGTGTCTATCTCCTCTTTATAAATAAAACTCACATTGCTAACAGAAACTAGCCTATTCTTAGTCGAATCATCTTCATTTTCAATTACACGTCTCCAAACAACTTGATTTGGTTCTGGGAAGCCATCAACTTCACAGAGAACAGATAATGGATTGCCTTCGTGACCACGAACAGCCCCAAATCTCGAGCGAATTACAGGTTGAGCTAAAGAGTGATCAAAGTGAGAAAATATCTAGTGTGAAATGGAATATTATTATAGCAATCTAAGTGGAATTATGCATTACAAAAGCTTGATTTCTTTCCGCCGTTAATATTCAAAAGTGAAGCGGTTAGACTATGCTGGTCAATTCAGTTTTGAAAAGTGGATTAATGAGATTTAAAGGTTTAAAACGTTTGTTGAATTTAAGATACTATGAAATATATGCATGAGTAAACGAATAAGAAATGGAGTTTGGTGTCATCAGACACATCGATAAAGTGCAGAATCACTAGTAAAACTTTTGGGGGCTGGCAATAATCACGCAGTCTTGAGTGTTGTTAGAGGTATAAAGGTGGTTATTACTTCCAAGTTGCACACACCGTGGAAGGGTTCTCCTGGAGGTCCTTGAAAAGAAAATTAGATCATAAACCTTTACTCTACAATATAGTTAGCTATACAGGATATACTAGGAGTGGATTTTACTCAAAAATAGAGAATTTAATCCAGCAAAAAACTACTTGAAAAGTTGAAAATTCATAAAATTAATACCAGAGATCTTTTATTTATATTGCCATCAATGCAAAATTTGGTTTATGTGTATATGTATTACCATAACCAGTTTTGAGAGCTTCGTACATGAGAAAATTTTATGTTAATTTGATTGAAGATACGTAAAGACCAAGCTTATTGACAAATTTGATTTTGATGCGTTAACGTCGTACAGCAGCTTGAGTTGAAACATATTTATATTTGGCCCTAAGTTGATCATGACCAACTGAAATCCTACGTCTTGTATACACGTGACCGAATGATATGGTTAAGCCCATTAAATATTCAGATACTGTCAGAAAACGATTCCCAAAACCTCACGAAAAACGAAATAAAGTCAGGAAAGCTTTTTAGATTCGATTTGTCAACACTTAACAAACTAGTGATAAACTAGTGAGTTCTATGCCTATTATGCTCTAATTTATTCCAACAATAACCAGAAAATCGTCTAATGATTTATTAGTCAGTTATAAACAATATAGAAGCTGGTAGACATGCGCATCAGTCAAGGTTTATATACGACACCAGGAGAGTGGGATGAAATTATCAAGATGAACGGTAGTAGAAGTACCAATGATGGTGAAAAAAATGAATCACCGGAATAAAAGGTATAAAACAATTTTGAAACTCAAGATCTAAGGGAAGACGAAGATTGAATGCATCTGCGCCACACTAACTAATCATCGGTCGTATTATCCAACGTTTCAGTCAGTCAGTCAGCTACAACGTAGGACCAGGCACATATGTGCATCGGTCCAAGTTGCCATACCGTATCAGCACAACGAAATGAACACCAGATTCATAGAAGTGGTTAATTCAGTGGTGGTAATATATAAAAGAAAGATTGCATATAGAGATATAGTACAAGAAGAAAGAATTGGTTCGTAGAAAGAAATATATGAAGTGATTTTAAGGGAGTGTATACACCGACGCCATTGTGATCGATTCTGAGCCATGTCACCCAGAGTCTCCAACCATTGGTTACAATAGTCACGCGGACCCCAACCAAGTAGCCTGCATCTACCAACATGGCTCAGACTAGAAGTTAGTGACTTCAAGCACTGATGCCACGTTTTGGTTTGGCCGCCCCTAACTTTCTTCCAACCATCCCCTACACCGGTTAGCATTGCACGTCGTGGTAATCGGTGTTCAGGCATACGTAATACGTGGCCCAACCATCTCAGTCGATGAAGATTCACAACCTCATCAACTGATTTACCATCGTTACCCAATACCCTGCGTCTAACCTCACTATTACTTACCCGGTGATCCCAGCAGATGCCAGCAATATTTCTAAGGCATCTGTGGTCAAATACTAATAGCTTACGAGTGTCTTCTACTCTTAAGGGCCATGTTTCGCTGCCGTAAAGTAAAACAGAACGGACTGCCGCGCAGTATACTCGTCCTTTTATTGATAGACGGATATCTCGCCTTCGCCAAAGGTGACGCAAGTTGGCAAAAGCCAAGCGAGCTTTTCGAATCCGTGCTGAGATTTCGTCAGATACCAACCCATTAGGGCTGATCAGACTTCCAAGATAAGTGAAGTTGCCAACGCGATCGAATACTTCACTCCCTATCCTTAGTTCAGGTGTTAACGCAGACCAGTCCTGAAGCA